AATCTACTTAAATTAATAATAATCTAAGATCAGCAAGATAATATGAATAAAATATAATTTCTTATGTTCATAATGATACATAGATCTTACGTGAAATTAGTTGATTATACCATGAAGTAGATAATACACTATAAACTAAACAAATTTAGAATATAGTAGATTATACACCTAGCAAAATTGTAGGATAAAATTATATTTATCATATTCTAAATACAATATAAGTCGCTTATTAGGAACACGGATAATTGATACAATCGCGTTTTTGAAACAACACATCGGTTATTTAAAACAATAAGGGCCAAGGTCGTCGAAAAATTCCGGTTATTTGGCGATAATTGTATTGTTATTACAATGTACTTTATTTTATGTCATTATAACGAAACCAGTCGAACTCTCGGAAGAAGTGTACGAAGATTGAATCGATATGGACTCACACCTCGATGTTGCAGAGGTTCTAACAGAAGAGATCTGTAATGCGGTTATCAACCCTCGAACAAAATAACATATGCTGCCACTGATGATGAAGAAGAAAAAAGCGAGGCATGAAGTAAAAATATTGTAGAAGCTCTAAGTGTCTTCAGGAGAGCAGTCTTACACCGTGCGGATGAAAAAGGTTTTGAGCAACATCGTTCTTACGAAACCATGCTCATCAAGTTACTCGACACAAAAAACAGACAATGATAAACGCATTTTTTACTTAGCATTTACATTTTTTTTCGCAGTAAATAATTTTTTTCGTAATAAATAAAAACAATCGCTTATTAGAAACAATCGAATAATTGACATATTTATCCTTGATCCAAAAGTGTTCCAAATAAGCGACTTCAACTGTATATAAAAATATCTTTAATATATTAAAGAATAACCTGTGATTTAAATGTTTAGGTTGGGGTAAAGGTTTCAGAAGGATACCAACCTTATGATTTTTTTATTATACATTTGTTTTCTTTCTAGTCCAAGGGTGGGAAACCTTTCCAAAGAAAAGAGTAATTTTTTTTAAAAAAGTTACAAAACAATGTTGCAAGATTGTCCGCATACCGTACTCGTTTTGACTAACTTTTTATATTTTGGTTGTTTTTTACTTACATAGTACATATGCTAAAATTTTATAAATAAAAATAAAAATTTAGATGGTGAGATGTATAATAAAGAGCTGCTGATTGCCGACTCTATTCCTAGTCTCTTTTCTCCTTCGTCTTTCTCCCAACTATTTGGGGTCAGCCACCCTTGCCCTAACCTTTCACTTGTCATGATTTTCTATATCTTCTATGCACAAGCTAACAGCTCTCATATCATTCTCAATTGTATCCAACCATTTTTTTTTGGTCTTCCTCGTTCTTTTTTTCCTTTAACATTTATTTTCATAACCACTCTTATAGCTTTTGTTTCCTCTTGCCTCATCATAACCATCTTAGTCTATACCAATACTACCTCTTAAATATTCGTTCTTTTCAGTGGCGCACTCGTGGAGGGGGGGTAAGAAGTTGTAACCCCTCTCCCTCGAAATTTTCTCCGATGTCTAGATTCAAATTTACAAATTTTACAAGTTTGAAATATGAAGAACTAGTATTGAATACCTAGTATCACTGATTGTAGAAAAGTTCATTCTATTATCAATACTATTATTTAAGTCAAAATATATAAAGGATTTACATAATTTTGTTAATTGTAAAATGTGTTATATTTTTACTTTGACCCCTCTCCCGAAAAAAATCCTGTGAGCGCCACTGGTTCCTTATTCTGTCTTCTCTTGTCACTCCACTCACCCGAGCATTCTTATTTATAAAACGCTCATATTCTATTATATTTCCTGTCATTTACCCAACACTCTAAACCTTTGCCATAGCTGGTCTAACTACACTCCTGTAAAATTTACATTTTATCCTCATTGGAATTTTCTTATCACATAAAACGTTCAATGCTTTTCCATTTAATTCGACCATACTTATTCTTATGTTTACATTCATGCCAAAGCCTTCTCGTTCTTTTGTACAAACGATCCTAAATATTTTAAATTCTCTACTTCACTTATCACATTACCACTTATTGTTATTGGTCTTTATATAGCCTCAACTTCTAGGTATTTTTTTTCAAAGCTATACTCTATATACTCCATTTTATTTCTATTAATTCTTAATGCCTTTCCCCTTCAACGGCTAATATCCACTCATCTAACATATTATTGACTTTTTCCAGATTTTTTCCAACCAAAACTATATCATACACCATGGTATCTCGCCCTTAATGTCTTTTGTAACTTTATCCATTACCACAGAGAACAAATAAGGACTCTTTCCCTAGCATCTACTTATTTTTTTATAATTTATGGATAAATTATAATTTTTAATTATATAATAGAATTTATACCTGAAACATATTAATTTAACAAAAATACATTTTGATAAACTGAAGAGTATTTAAACATTCTTAAAACTCCCTTACTTCTTTATGTCAACATTTAACTTTAATAACTATTCCATTATATCTTATTAGGTTTTTGCTATAATTATACATATGTTATATTTAAATTTTAACTTAATATGGCAATAACTAAAGTATGGTCTTCTTAATTTTCCCTCACCTTTCTCCCAACTATTTAGGGTTGGCCGCCTATGTCTTAAACCTCCACTCGTCTCGATTTTCTACATCTCCTATGCATACACCAAAAGTCCTCATATCATTCTTAATTGTATCTAATAATTTCTTTTTTGGTTTTCCTTGTTTTCTTTTCCCTTCAATGTTCATTTTCATAATCACTTTTATTGCTTTTATTTTTACTCGTCTCATTATATGTCCAAACCATCTCAGTCTATTTTCTCTCATTTTGTCCACTATTGATGCTATTCCAATACTTCTTACATATTTGTTCCTTATTCTATCTTCTTTTGTCACTACACTCATTTTGTATTCTATTCTCCTACCAACCGCTCAATATTCTGAACTATATAGCATAGTTGGTCTTACTACACTCATGTACAATTTACTTTTCAGCTTCAGTGGAATTCTCTCATCACAATTGACTATAATATTTATTTAAAATGTCATTATTTGAATTACTGTAGACTTTATGTGGGTATTATAAACACATTGTGTACTAATGTACACAATCCATTATATAATAAATGTATATTATAAAACTATACTAAAACAATTTTTTTAAACTAAAATATATTGACTTATTAGTGATACTAAGATACATTTTATTTTAAATAACATGTATAATATAATATTATAATTATATCATAACAATAATCACATGTAAGCAGGACATAACCTAACTTAACCTACCTGGACAAGCATTATGGGGTAGGGGCTAGGGTTCCAGACATGGGCTTTGTTAGATACTATGCTTAACACTAAAGAAGTTAAATCTGTAATTGAGCATTAATAAAATAAAATATACACTTGTTTAATAATTTAGAGTATGGTGAGTTCTATAGGTTTAAGTATTTCTATCCCCCAAAAAATGTAACACTACATATTCCTAATCTGGAAATTAAATATAAAATAGATATGATGTATAATTGTATATAATGTAATATATACAAGCATACACTATATTATTTATATTACATGAATATTAGAGAAAATAAATAATAGTACTTATATTATATTATCTTTACCTATATGGTTAATACATTTTTACATACACAATTAAGAATATCTAAGTACAAATACATTTTATTTTAAGAAATATTTTTTTGTAACAATATACTTCAAAATTAGTAAATTATTGATAAAAATGATAAGTTTATACTTATTATATTTTATAAAATATAATTTAACTTAATATTGTTGTATAAAGTAATAAACAAATAGTTAACAAAATAAAATAAATTTATAATATCTAAATTTTTTTAATTTAATTTATATTAAAAAAAAATACTGTAAAATATAAAGTATAAAATATTTCTATTAAATTGATATACAATTATTATAAATAATAATTATAAATTATAATAATAAAATTATTATTATAATTATTCATTAGATGTTAATGAAAAATTAAAACTTATATTAAGTTGAACTTTTTAATTAGATTTAGATGATTAATTTCAGACTTGGCATTAAAACTCATTTGTCTTAAATACATAATATGTCATCACTTTAATGAAACCAGATAATCAATAATTTAAATTGGATTAATAGAAAAAAAATATGCAATTTCATAAACATCCAAACCTTAGTGAATCAAATTCCATCAAAAGATAAATATTTTTTAATTTTATCAAAAAAAAAAAAAAAATTTAGCATTCTGATTATATATTTTTATAAATTATGAAACTATTTTCTACCATCTTATTTAGAATAAAATAAATACCAACCTTCCAACAATCACCTTAAAAGTAAAAAATAATTAAAAAGGATTTAAAAAAAAAAAGAAAAAAAAAGAAATTTCTACAAAATTCAATCTCTAATTAAAAGTGATAAGTTAAGTGTTTTTTTAATATATTCTATTTATAAATTGTATTAACTTGGTCTTATTAGAATAATTGTTAATAGTAATTTAATTATAATATTAACATAGTTCCATTAAAGTTAAATAAACAATTAGAATATATTTATAAAGAAATATATAAAAGTAATTTATGTTTTTATGAACTACAGGAAAATATTTTAGTCTTCAAATAGATTTTTATAAGTTATTTATTATTATTAATTTATTTATCTTGCACAAAAAACAATAAGGTACTATGTACATATACATGCAAAACTCATTACAATATACATGTACACATAAATAAAAAGTTTAACCATGTATATAGCAAAATCTTTTTATAATCACAGGATTAAAAAGAAAACAATTTGAATTTGATAAAGTTTAAGAAATGTCTATAGTTTAAAACAAAATTGTATGATATAAGTAGTATTATGTACAAAGTCAAATTGTATCACAGAAGTTTTACTGTTTTATTGAGATAAAACATGATATACACAGCAACTAACTCATTTAAAATTTACTAATTTGATAAAAAATTAATATTCTTTAATGAACTTACTTTAAGTAATGTAAGTATTTTTTGACTTAATTCATAATCAAAATTTGAATATTTTGAATCAGACATGTCGTAAATGAACACCAGCCCACATCTTTGAGTCTTTACATTTTCAAGAGCTATATCTAGTTGATAAACTATGCCCTATTAGTAATAATAAATAAATTTAAATTATTATTTTATAACTAAATGTATTTATAAGATATATACTTGTAATGTAGTTTGGCGAGAAGATAATTGCGGTATGTGATAACGTGCTGTAAAAACAGCTATAGCAGCACCTGTTGAATCTCGAGTTGGCTGTAAAAAACACAAAATACATTAGGTTAACATTTAGAAACATTGAATATCAATTTATACCAAAATTGTAAATTTTTGCGTTTGTATTTCACTTCTCAATGGTTCAACAGCACAATTGAATCCGAACAGACCCTCACGTTGTCTTGTTTCTTCATGCTGCTCGTATAGTTTTTTAGCATTATCAATATTAAATTTTCTCGCCCACAGAAACTTAATAGCAGATGAACGAGTTATTAATGATTTTTTCTGTGATTTCCGCTTAGAATTTATTTCATTCATGAATACATCAACGGCCTATAAAATACGTAAATAATGTATTCCACATAGGAGCAACAGGCTAAGTACATTGTTACAGACATCGTCTTGGCAACAGCAACATCTAGTGTAATCACTCGTCATTCGATTACCAAGACCAACCACTCACCTGTTCCTGTTCCAATGTAAGATCTCCAGTTTCCATTTTAAACGGAGTATTATCAACAACGACAAGACTCAATTCGGCCGCCCGAGCGGTTCATACGCATTGACGTGCCGAAATATTTCGGCTTCGGTGTTATCACGTGCTACTAAGACGGTGACAACGGAATGATTGGCACATTATGTTATAATGTACTAGTAGTTTTGTTTCTAATGATAGGTACTATTATTACAGTTTTGTGGTAAACGACAACGAAAAAATCAAAGAACTATTACTGTTGCTTTTTTATGTTTGTTTAATGTTTTGTAAACTTTTATTTATTTTTTTTATCAATTGAACGTACATGAGACACGATCTGGCGGAATGAGATTGTACTACGGCGAAGGCAACGTTTGTGCCGAAACGACGACACGGCCCCGTCGATACGTTCGCACGCATACGATTGTAGTCCGATCCATCCGCAGTCCGTTGCATAAACATAAATATATATGATCAACGCAGCACGCACGTGGATACGCGTACGTGCGATTTTTCCAAGGGCCGAGAATATACCGTGGGTATTAGGGTTGTACCAGACTACCTAACCGGCAGATATCAGTTCTCTTGGTTGAAACCAGTGTGACGGTTTTAGGCGGTCGGTCATGATGATTGATGACCCTGTGGACAGGGGCGTATTTAGGTAGAAGCTATGAGTCCTATAGCCAGAAGCGGCGAATTTGTAAAATTACAGGAAGGTGGTACATTTTATAAAATTTTAGAGATAGTTTAGAAATACATACCTATTTAATATAACGTACTATGATTTATATTATACAGAAACTGTTAAAATAAGTCATTATTATAATACCATTTTTTTAAGGGGGGGGGAGCGTTAGAAAACGGCAAAATGTATGTTGCCTCATCTTGAAATTGATCAATACGCCACTGTCTTTGGGGCCCAGTAGTGAAACGAAAAATAAGTTCAACAAGTTAATTTCTCAGTTTGTTCTAGAAGTCCACAGCAATTTGTAAACCATCAAGTAATTAATTTAACTGGACTAAACAATATTCCGTTTTGAGATAAATTTCATTGTGCTTATTGCTTAAAATAATTTTAATTTTATTTCTATTAACTAATCTAGATACGTAATTTAATCTAATGAATTTTATATGGGGTAATACCAGTGGGTGACTTCCTCTATCAAATGAATTATGTTATGTTTCATATTATATATTATTTTTATCACAATGACTAATTGTACAAATTATGAGTATAGATTATCTTTTTTAATTTTTCAGTAGAAGAAAAAAAAATCTACTAATCTAAAGCTAGGGACAGTCTATTATCATGTCACGACAGCTCACGAATAATTAGACAAGGCATGATATTTCATTACCTTACGGTAATAATCAAACTACCATCACGTATAATCACATATACACTATCACGTCAAGTTGGTCGTCTATGCATGGTAATCAAGATGGATTCTGATACTTCCTATAGTTCATTAGTTTAGAAAAATGATCTGGAAAATACAGCCGCTTTTATAATTGTAAGCCAATAAAAAACTCGATCAGGATGGATCCATTATATTAATACAAATAGGGAAGAATTTGGAGAATCGATTGGTCTAGGAGTTGATTGAAGATAGCCATCGGTTTCACATGTATTTCAGAATGGCTAAAATTGAATTTGAATACTTATATGACCCTGATAAAGATGATTTATAAAAACTTATATCCTCCCAAATCTAATTTATAATATACAGAACTTCAAGTAATTTGTATTGCTCAATCAATTCATTGTTGTCATTATATCACAAAAAAAGCTTATTAAAAAAAAATATATCAATTTTCTATTTGGTATTAGAAAATGAGACCGTGAAAACATATAATTTTAAAATACGTAAAATAATAGAAAATAGACACGGCATATCAAGCATGAGGTAATAAAACATAATATGACATAAGATGAGAATAAAGTATCGTTAAATGATAATATTAATTGGGTAAAATTACGTTTCATATGTTATACACATAGTGGGAGTTCATAAAATAACACATGAGCTCATGGGCGTCCCCAGGGGGGCAAGACAAGACACTTGTCCCTCCCTAAAATTTTAATTTTTTTTTTCAAAGCATTATCTGTAACGCGCCAATTTAGTAAAATTTAGTAAACATAGATTACTTTAATATTTATAGAAGAAAACTATCTTTAATAATAATTGGATTATTTTATCTTATATTTTATATTTGAGAAAATGTTTAAATAATAATAATAATGTATAAATCAAATGTTTAAAAAAATCTTCATTTATTTTTTAAATTAATTTTGCCTATCCTTATAAAAAAAATTCTGGAAACACCCATGCGTGATCTTACGTATCGTAATAATAGTCTGCTCCCATCTAATTCTCAGATAACATGGTAGGTTCCAATTATTATTAGGGTCGTAAGCTGCAGAAAAATTAAAAAAAGTATTCTGTCGCAAATCCCTCAAGATTATTGTTTCGAAACGCGGAAGACTATTCGTGATCAGTGGCATGACGAACTCAAATATTTTTAAAGGCAAGTATATTTCTCGATACCTACTCACCTAGAGAAGACTCTATTGAATAATAACGGCATATAAAAATAAAAAATGTACATAAAATCTAACAACACACAAGATTACAGTAATAAAAACCGTATTAAATGTATTACTCGTTTATAACACTTATTTGTTGACTCGTTGTTACCAGCTAGTAGCTACTGGACACTAGCTCCTGCTTATATCAATATTAAAATATCTTTTTGTGTGTTATTTTCTTATTTTAAATTATAGTTATGAAACTAAATATTACCTACCCAACACCAATTGAAAACACTGAGAGGCGGTATTCTCTCGATTACCCTTTTCACCGCGCCATTGATCCTGATAACCACAACAATTTTTTTTAAATTAATATTTCCAATATTATAACCTGTCTCAAATCGTATAAGATAATAAGTAATTTCGTATTTTTTAACTTAATAAACAATATCTGATGATTTTGATATATAATTTTTCCTTTCAGCAATCATTCATTTATTTTCATATATAATTTCTTATGATATTATAAATAAAATTAAAAATATTGACTTTGTTAAATTATATCATTTATTTATTAAAATATTTTATTAGTTAATATTATTGTGCTATATACATACTCGTATATTTGAACAAATATAAGATAATAATATACTATATTCTTACTTATTACTTATACTAAATAACTGTTCACAATTTATTAATAATATTATTAAATAAGAAACTATTTTAATTAGAACTCATTTTAAAGTAGAAATATTAAGAATGAATATTTATTATAAAATTTAAAAACTGTATTAACTTATTAATCGTGAAACTTCTTATATTATTTATAAATAGTACTAAATAATAATAATTACTCGTAATAATTATTAGATTATAAATTTAATCTACCCAACATTATTCCATTATACCAAATGGTTTTTATAATTATTTATGACTATTGATTTGTAAAATATTATCAATTATTGATTAATTATAAAATAAATAAATGGTTTCAAAATTATCACAGTTTCAAAAATAATTATTAACGTTTTTTTTTTTAGTTAAATATAATAAATTTGTATAAAATATTTATTTATCTGATTATGAGACGGAAAATAATGTATTATTATTGTTATATAGTTCATATTTGAATTCTATCAAAATGTATGATAGTTAAAATGAACCAAACTCATCTATCCAAGACTGATATTTTTCAATATCTTGACTAGTCACGGTTTTTCGACATCTTTCTATAGCTTCATTGAAATCTTGTACTGTAACTGGTAAATCGATGTCAGCACGTTTTATGTTTTTTATTTGATCCGGAGTCTGTCCAACAATTTTTCGTCGCATGCCCATCATAGCTGCATCCCTACAGACGTTAGCTATGTCTGATCCGGTGTATCCTCTTAATTTATTAGCTACAAATCGATGATCAAACGAATCATCAAGATTCACTCCTTCCAAACATAATTTCAATAAAGTTATTCGTGAATCATCTGAAAATGAATAAGTATAAAAATTTTTTTAATACATTATTATGTAATATAATAATTAAAAATTATCAGTTGTATTTTGTAAAAAAAAAAAAAATGTAGTGACTGTGTATTTCATAACGGCATATTACCATTAGGCAAAGGCAAATATATTCTTTTTTCAAAGCGTCTTCTAAAAGCGTCATCAATATCCCATGGATGGTTGGTAGCTGCGAGTACCATAATTGATGTATTATTTTCTTCATCACTGTTAAGAAAATAATGATTTTGAATATTAATAGATATTTGAATTTACATATTTTAATATTTACCTAGTAGAATTTAAACCATCCATGTGAATTAAAAGTTCCGCTTTAAACCTTCTAGAAGCTTCATGCTCACCTTCGGAACCTCGTAAAGAACATAATGAGTCTACTTCGTCTATGAATATTGTAGACGGGGAATGTATTTTTGCCATTTCAAACAATAATCTGACCAACTTTTCTGATTCTCCTCGATATTTAGATGTCATTGTTGACGAAGAAACATTAAAAAATGTCGTTCCACACTCTGTAGCTACAGCCTTAGCCAACATTGTCTTTCCGGTACCAGGAGGACCAACCATTAGGACACCTTTCCATGGCCTTCGAATGCCCTTTAAAATCGATAAATTTTTTTATTTCATTTAGCTTTTAGTGTAACTATTAAGCCATATGATAAAATAATACATAGTAAATAATATTATCTGTCTATAATCAGTATAAGTATTATTATGTTAAATAAAATATACAAACATATAATTTAACAATCTAAATTGACAATATGATAATTTTATTAAAAGCTGGAACATTCAAATCGTAAATTTTTTATTATCTTTATTATGAATATGAGTATACTATATAAATTTTCTTAAATATTATTTTTAATTAATTAATAAATATATAACACAGAAAAAAAATTGTCACAGAAGATTCAATCACTGGATTGCTTCATTTAAACAATGGTATATTAATGATAAAGGAATAAGTTACTGAATCCTTTCGGGAATAAAAAAAAAAAAAATAGAAAAAACTAAAAATACTGAAATATTAAATATTAATTAAACTAAAAATTAAATAAATGCCGATTTACGAGTATGTAAATTTTAAAGATGATAATTATACATATTACATAATTTCTATTCATGTAATATTAGTATCAATCATTTTGGAATTAAAAAATAGTTCGACTCAATTAAAAAAAAATTGAAAATATACTATTGAGTCTGAAACGCATGGTATTTATAAGTTGTGACATGTGAAGTTTAAACAAATAAATATTTGTCTTAATGATTATTACAACCACAATATGTAATATACAGCATGTTAAAATATAACATCTAAATATACATATAAAAATATACACGGTGGAACTTTGATAACTCGAATACATTCATCGATCTATAGCCATATGAATTTTTAGACAAACTTTTATTTAAATATATTTTATTAAAATTGTTGATTTGTAGGTATCATTTTACTTTATTAATGTTTGTATAATTACTTTAAAGAAATCTGGCATCAACATAGGCAACACCATAGCTTCTTGTAGTAAAGTTTTTGCATGTTTCAATCCAGCTATTCGATCCCACTGAACGTTAGGGTTTCTTTGCAAAATGTCTTTCTCGATAATGTCTACCAAATGAGATTCATAACCAACAACAGTTTTGATTTTTTGTAATTGTTTTTTTTGATCTGCTGGACGGGCAGTTGATGGTACTTGGTGAATTAGAGGTGGTATAACAGGCTTAGTTCTGTATCCACCCGGGTGTGAACAACATCTTAAAAAAAATAATTAATATATAGGTATTTGATGTTTATAAATATCAAAATAATTATTTACCTGTCTCTTTTTGTGTGGATGGCAGGCAACGATTCTGAATCTCTTTTCCTTAGAGAAGCAGCCCATTTCTCTGATGGACCATTTGATTTTGGTTTATAATATTGTTGATTATTGTTTGATCGATTATCTAAAAACAATATTTTATATATTATATTGTGCTTTTAATTACAATTATATTATTCTATAATTCTATTCACATTAAGAACATTATAATATTAAGGTATATGTTAATAAAAGAGTATAATTATACTAAAACATTAAAAACTATTAAATACTTATATTTTATAGATTCACCATTATTTGCCCGGCTAATATTTGGCACCACATTTGGTGTTTGCGTTTGTTGTGAAGAGGATCGATAAAGATGTGATCGCTTTGATGCTTGATTTGTTCGTCTAACAGGCTTGGAAAATGATGCAAAAGATGAAAATGGATCTAACAATGAGTCCATCATACGAGCAACTTCTTGTTGAACTATCCATCCTGTAGGTCTATTATTAGACAGTCTATTATAAAAATAGAAATTTTAATTAGTATATAAATATAATACCATGTTTAGTACCGAAAATTACTAAGCCATGTATAGAATTCATATATTTCCTAAGCATTAAACAATATACCAAAAACCAAGTAGGCAATAATGTGGTGTAAACGCACCATAGTTGATTATAGAATATACTATATAAATACTTAACATCTTATCGTTGATATACACGATATCTCTTTATTATGCAATGACAATTTTCACCATTTATTGACATTTTCGTGTGGATATATAAACACAACACTCATAATATGTTCACCTTTTTTCATTACAGGGTTATAACATATTTTAAAAAGAAAACAAAATCAAAATTTAACTAATTATACTATTTTATAATCCAATAAAAAACATAAGGACTTAATGAAAATAATTTCAAAAATCAAGACGGGTAATAAGAAAAGATATTTATTTTTAGTCAGAATATTATAATTTTGAATTATTTTTGGTAATTATTCAACCAATTTCAATAACCAATTATTACAAGACAAGGCCTTTGTCCTTATAAGGTTAAGTCCTGAAATAATAAATGTATATGTCATTTGTGTTAAAAAATAATAAGCTTTGTCATTCATATATCAGTCGCACACTACATGTTGCAATAAATAATCTATAATAGCAGCCAAGTAATAAGCAGGGCTCATAACTTATAGATCTGAAAATGGTGGTTATAAGCACTATAATATGCTCATAAAAAGTACTTTAAGTACTTAAATATACACTAAAACATAAGAAAAAAAAATCATGTAAACAATAAATTTCAATAAACATGAGTTAATTATAAATATAAATACTCATAATTAACACTACTATAATTATTTGTTGTTATCTAGAAAATATGTTTTTAAATGCTACGGAACTTAAAAAAACTTAAATAAGCAAAATAGCAAATAACAAATTTCTAAATACGCAAAAATAAGTCAGAAAAATAGAAAAAAGCAAAATAGCTTTTATATTTTGAAATATGCAAAAATATGCAACATAAGAATTTGTATTTAGCTTCGTAGTTATCTGAAACAAATTTATAGCTCACATAGGTATTTTTAGGACCTCTAAAAAAAAAAATATGTAAATGCTATAAGTTATGAGCTTTGATAATAAGTAAGATAATAGGTTTGTAATATTCAATAAAAATATTGTGCTACAAGTAAAAGTTAAAAAATAAAAAGAGTATGTTAATTTGAACAAAAATATTATAAATAGATTAATTTTCTTACTTTGCCTAGGAGAAATATTTAAGTTTATATAATGTTTAGAAATTTTATAAAGTATCTAGGTATCGTTTGAAATAGAGTTATGTAATATATGTTTTATTTAAATTAACTAAGACTAGTAAGCATTATCTATAATACCTAAGAATTACACACATTACCTAAATTATCTTACTGCTAGTAACATGTACATATATTTTTTACTATTGGTATTTTCGATGACTTCGATTATTGTGACCATTACCTCTTATTTACATTTTATAAGATAAAAATAATTATTTGTACGAAAAATAAATACGAGTAGTATAGGCCCATATGATTTAAATATGTATTTTATTATTATAAAAATTTATAACACACCAAAAAAAAAAAAAAAACACTAAATTATTTAAACTGTAAAATATTTGCTTAAAATTTAAAATTCATAGATATAATATTTTAGTATCAATATCCACTGTATAGGTTAACCAATTACCAAGACAATTTATTTGATTTCAGTTAATTATTACTGAAAAAATTAAAATTATTTATTTTAATCTAAGACGTCTTATAACCTAATTATAATAAGAACCTAATTTAAGTAATAATCTTTTTAAAATTAAGACAGAGGACATGTTACTTTATCAGAAATATTTGAATAAAATATGAGTTATGGTATTCATTTGTATTATAATTAAACGCAACAAACGCGTAGTCATGGTTATGAAACACGTAGTTATGGAGAAATATAGGAAAGTTGAAATATTAATAAAATATTTTATTATCTTTTATGAAATCAAATATAACTAAATATAACGTATTTCATTGGTTAAATTTAGAGTTAATTATTTATCATTGAGATGATTAAAATTTAGTGTAGAATTAGAAAAGTTTAATATTTTTAAGTTTTTATATTATATTATAAGTTTAAACGTAAGTAACCATTAAAATACGCCGAAAATGTTTTTTGTAAATAATGAATATCAGCAAGTACAAATATATTGATACCAAAATGTAATAAAATTGAAAGAACCATGTAAAATATAATGTTTAGTACATTGTGAATTTTTTTATTTCAGTATCTATTGATTAATTCAATTTTTTAAATCATTTTTATTTAATTTTACTAATTAATTTTTTGTTTATTTTCACTTAACGTTATTGTTTTAAATTTACCAACAAATAAGTTAACATTAGTTTGATTTTTAACACTAGATTTTAAACACAACATCCTTCCAGTATATTTGGGTACTCAATTTGGAACTGAAGTATAGATCCGCTTACTACATTTGGTATCAATAAATTATTTTATCTGTTCATGCTACGTGTAAGCCTGTGGTGCCCTAAGGGCACTACGACCACTTTATAAAGGAACCGCAGTCTACGGTTCATAACAAATAGTTAAAAAAGATTAAATTGTTTTCGTAAAAACTTTATAACAAATAATGTAATATTTTTTATTGTATATTTGTATATAATAACTATAATCATAATAACAATCCATTTTATTTATTTTTTAAACTTAAAAATGCATTAATTTATAATTAAGATTAATTTTAATAAAATTAATAAAATGGCTATCAATTAATATTTTCTTTTGTTCTGTCTTTAATGTTATTCATAACAGGGCATCGTGGCTAAATCGAGTCTAAAAAAAAGCACCACGAAAAAAAAAGTTTGGGAACCGCTGGTGTAAGCAATACTTTTTAAGCTTATTTTCTTCCTAGCTTTAAAATCATAAGGTGTGAATTATAAATATATTTGAGGATATCGTAAATCAAAGTAATAGTTTATTTTGTAATAAATAATCTACATGATATATTTATTATTCTTTGCTTTTATTTTCATACAACATTGGATATTACTTAATAATATTATTTTCATTAATTTTCGTATGTTTCCTTCATCTCGAATTTAAAAATATTGTTTTAGGTAGATTACTATATTTATAATTCTTAATCGCTGAAAAGTTAAAATATTATAAATACTACACGTAAAAATCTAAAAAACACTGCCTAGTACCTAACCATACCTTATTTTAATTTTTAATATAACCTAATTTAAATTTATATTTTCAAACTTTATATTTGCTTCTATATTTTGATATAAATAAAGGTAAAAACTTGATTAAATAGGTCAAAAAATACTTGTCACGCAATTCATATTGGAAAAATAAACTTTATTATACATATCAACTAAAAAGGAAATACTGAATTTCACCGTACGCATGTTAGTAATTTCATTGACCTCTAGCTCCAAATTCGGTCGATAAACTTTTACATATTTTCTTTATAGACAAAATTGATTGTAACCTTTTTTATTAATATAAGAAAATTATATTTATTTGCTATACAAATGTTGAAAGATAATTTAATTTAATAATTATATATTTTATTAATCGGGTTTGGTTTGAGTCAGGTTGATTTTTTTTATTAAATAAAAATATATTTTATCTTGTTCAAATTAAATTTTTCGGAAGACAAGAGGTTAATCGAACATTTATCATCTTAATATATTTTTTTCTTACTATTTAATTTTATTGCCCAATCATTACATAAATTAAGATTTGTAATTAATTTTCATTTGGTTTTCAAGTAATTGATAAATATAATTTATTTATTTTTATTTAGATTAATAATAATAATAGGTTGATTATAATTATAATTAATACATAAAGTAATAAAATAAGACAAAATTGGTAAATATTTTTATTCAACTAAATAAATATATAATAAAATAGTTAAATGTTAGTAAATAAAAATAATCGGATTAAATAATGGAGATAGGATGAGGGCATAAATAAATAAATTAATACATGAACAACCAAAAAATAAAAAATTAATTGTATTTGTTATTAAACTACTGATAGTTAAAATATATATAAATTAATAGCTTATATATAAAAAAAATAAAAAAAATGCTTAGCCTAGAGTATTATTTTATTTGTAATTCAAGACCAGTTTTGAATTAAAAATTCATAAGTTAAATACAAAATGAATTTGAATAGTGATTTTTTTGACTTTGTATAAATCTAACAATACATTTTTAAACCGAAACCGATCATAAATTATAAATATAATAATTATAATAATTTTATTTTTATTTTATTTTATTTACAAACTTTAATAATATTTGTTATAAGTCAAGAAAAATGAAAGAGTATTTTATTATTCAACCAATCTATGGATTGAAAAAATAAAGTAAATAGTCTAAGTATAAATTAAGTCTATAGTTTTATACTTACATCTCTTCAAGATTTACTTAAATCAATTTGTTTAAACATCGATTAGATTAAGATTTTTTTTTTAAAGTTCGACATAAATATCAGTTCGAATATAATTTATTTATAATTTATTATGTTTTATGATTACAAATAACAGTTATTACAACTGCATAAAAATGTAAATTATATAATTTTATATAATTGATTAAAAGTTTTACAATTTGTATTGAGTAGATTTATATGTATTACGGATAGAATAACTCCATAATATCTTATAAAAATTGATTAACATTTTTTTTAGCCTAATTTTTTCTTGGTTATACGGTATAGACCAGCGTTTCTCAACCTGGAGTTGACGAAACCCTAGATAAGGGATTCCATCCATTAGAAATGATTAAACACTGATGTAGAAAAACAACTTTTTATTTACATTAAAAATATAAAATTTAATTTATAGCATAAATATACTATAAACTTAATTTCATTCGTTTAATAATTCGAAAACTCGTATTTTTTTTTTTTCATTGATGGTTAAAGATATATTTTGTAACCAGTAAAACAGAAAAACCTTAAATCAGTTTTTATTATAATGAGAGGGGAGGGTCGTGAGGTGACTTATTTTATATTTTACCTCTTATGAGAAGGATCGCGACATTAAAAAGATTGAGAAACCCTAGTATAAATAATTAATTTAAAAATTTTGAATATGTAAGGACATTGTTGCAAAATTTATTATTATTATTATTATTATTATTTTAAATATTAAATTAATAAATTCGATTTATGAATAAAGATGTACTAGCCTTCTAGCATAATATCAATCGCTTTAAAATACAGACAATAGTGTTATAAATATAATAAGAACATTTTAATTCATGAATTATAATATTTAAGGTTTAGGACCGAATAAAAACTAAGTATAAAATTACATCATTCCACTAATCAGCTAGTGAATATTATTTAATTATATTGTATGCTTATTGTTATAAAAATAATGTAAAAAAAAATAACCGAATGACAATGAACTGAATTTACTACAGTATGATATATATTAAATGGCATTTCTGCGTAAAATATTATTATAGTTACGTAGCGATTGAATATGTAACTTAAAAAGAAAAAATGGAATCTACAAGTCGTGAGACGGCGCATCGTGTACGCAATTCAGCTACATGTGCGCATATCGTATCGATTTGATGTCGAGAGGAATGGTTATAATTATTATGGACAAACCAAATCGTGGGATATTTGCGAGTTACATGTTATTTTTTTATGTTTTTAAATTTTGATTTTTTTTTTTTTTAACTTGAAAGTAACGTAGTTATTATTTTTTTTTATTAAAAATTAAAGTAATTTCATTGCAATATTATTTGTGGAACATAAAATATAATTTCAATACATTTAAGCAATGAGTAACGAGTAAAGTTATATTTTAGTTAATTTTTTAAAGTAATTGGTTAGTTACCTTAAAAACACTGGTTAATAATACACTATTAGTTACATTATTAAAAAGAATCATACTAAATGTAAAATAAGATTCAATAAAAATCATAATAAAGTATATACTACCCAGGAGGAAGTTTGTACAGATGTCTCGTGGTGACCGGCACGGTCATTTGTATCTCGAACTCCACATTTCGACCACCTTCGGACATGGTGTTGTTGTGACGACTATAGGCCAAACGTACTTATGGCATGCACGAACACAGTGTTGTGCATACCTACGTCCAGCGGGGTAGTTCGGACATAGGTTGTTGGCACACTTTAAACGTCGTTGCCCCCTCATACACGTACACATACACACAATCGTATTAATACACACGTATACAGTATGTAACACTCAATTGGTAACACGAAATATTTTTGTCCGAGGGAGATATGGAATAAAGAGTTAGGTAAAATTCAAATGGTAATATCAAATTGTTTGATATTTTTTAAATTTCTAATCCTTTCAGTGTGCGCAGGAGCAACACAACTAACATTTTTTTATAGCAAGATGTATTTTTATTACCAAATTCGGATAGGCTAAATTTTTTAAACATTTTTTTTTTTACTAAACTATTTTCCTATTTCAAAAATTGGTCGATTAACAGCGAGTGAAAGTTGAAAATAAAATAAATGTTTGGTCAATTTTCAAAAATATAAAATTGCCTGTATTTTGTCAATGTAAAATGATTTATAATTTGTTTATATTTTTGTTTAAAATTTCACTCATTGTTAATCTACCAATTTTTTAAATAGAAAATAGTTTATTTGTAAAAAATGCTTAATAAATTTGGTTTATCCGAATTTGGTGTTAAAATACCCGTTACCCTTTAGAAAAATGCAAGTTGTGTTACGTCTGCGAACACCGAAAAGGTTAGAAATTTTAAAATCATAAAAAAAAAATTGTATTTCAGTATTTCCTATCATCTCCTGATTACGCATTTCAATCTGAAGCAACTAGCCAGAAATATTTCGCGTTACCATTTGAGTAAAACACACTGTATATATATCTATATTATACCCACGGCTCTTAAGTTCCTGAATACTGACCGTCAATAGTGTGAGTTGTGGGGTAGCATAATTGTGGGGGGAGGACATTGCCCCCGGGTGCATAAACCCTTAGCTGTAATAATTTTCATACGGTGTTGTTACACTAAGCAGCTATATATTTATATGTATATATTGAATTGTGCACGCAAACGTTTGTATTTTAGTGATGGAGGTCAGAGACAGCACGTAAAACTTATTTGAATAAGTTCTTTATTTTAGTCTTTCGTTGAAACTTGTATATTTACTAGTAGAATATGCGTTAAATCTGACTATTTATCACTTATTTATATCTATGGAGTAGTCTGCAATATAATCTGTAATCGGCATGTTATGTATAGGAATACGTGTGTGTATGGATATGATATGAAAATTTAATTACACTCGATGGTCAACGTCTCATATGCATTATGATTTGATGTACTTAAAACTTAACTCATATTTGTATATTTACATACATATTATATTAGCTGAATCACTCGGCTTTACCTAAGATCTTAAGCGTCGGTCCCTATGCCTTATTTATAGACATGGTAGTTCAAGGCTCTATAGGAAATTGGACGTGTTTAAATTATTATTATTATTGATATCACAATTATTGTCTTTTTTTGTATTGACGTTATTGTCATTCTCTTGCCTATAAGTATTCCTCAATAAACATTAAGCGCATCTTTTTATCATAATATTATGGTTTTATTTTCTCTTTTTAGGAAATTTGCAACAAATTTTTCCTATGAATAATTATAATATATTATCCCGAAGAATAAAATAACAAAAACGATATTAATATTGAAATTGAACAAACAAAAGAAACCCGGTATATATGACACAACCTAATTAAAACCCATAGAGTAAGATAGTATAAATATATAACTCTATGCTAAAACCTTATTCACAGTTCTTTATGATTTAAAAAATAAATTGCTTGAACATTGGATAAATAGTTTCAGAATTATACCGTAACCAGGGTTCCCATTTTGAAATTTAGATATAAAATATATTTAATTTATAACGGTTATACACTAAATGTGAATACACATTATGTGATACCATTAATTGTTGATGATACAATTATGGGCTTATAAAATGGTCATGTGCTTGTGTACATTCTATAGGAGTTTATATTTATGGTAGCATGTGCACTCTATGGATGTATTTTTAACTCAGAACATCATGTTTATCAAAATTGTAAAGAAAAATAATGCAGTAATGATTTAATCCTCTTCGTCATTTTGTGACAAATAATTATTATGAAAAATTGATTAATTCGAGTGTTGTCGAGAACAATAATATAAAATAACGAAAAAAGTCAAGCTATCTGTGGCAATCAAACTTTACATATTAAATTCTTAATTATATATATGTGTATATATTATAATGAAAGACGTTAATTGGTAAATCACGTATTTTAATAAAATTATTTAATTATATAAGTAAATGTTACATAAAAGAGTATTTTAAATTTAAACTTACTATTCTCATAAGTCAATAATGTCATTAACTAACATTATCAGTAAATTATGATAAATCTCATATTTTTCACAATAATGAACTAAATAATAATTTTAATATGTTAACACACATGAATCAATAATAATCATTGATCGAAAGGGATCCCTGCTGAAATCAATCTTGTCCTTGCTGTACACTTTATATAATTCAATAGTTTATCCTAGTTGACACAATTTTTTTAGAACCGCACAAATTTTAAAGCCATTTGTCAGTCTTTTGATTTCTTATCAGCCATCCATGAAGATAAAATTTCTTATATGCCCCTTTCGTCTGTTCAATTGATCCTTGGGTTTTGCTGTGTCTTGCATAACAATTAATCTGTAATATTACTATGAGTCGGGATTAACAAATTATCAACGATAATAAAATAGATTTTTTTCAGCTATTTACGTTTGTTATAATATTTTTGATTAACGAAACTATGTCACACACGAGAATCATTGAGCATTGATATACAAAGTTCACATCGCCCCGTGACATGCTGACTTTACAGATCCGTAATTGAAAATAAAGTAAGATAATTAAATATCTAAATTTACATTTTTCTTGGAAAATGAAAAACTGCATTTACCTTAATGTGAATTGACCCACTTTTATATTGGTCAAATCGCACTAAATACCTTATTTTTTGACTTAACTAGTAATAGACGTCAATAACCTGCGAATGTCTACAATTATAACATTAACATATTTTCAGGGTAATTACGTCATTAACCGGTAAATCACCACGGTAACGTCTTTCACCGTAACATACATATACGAGTAAACAGTGTCATAACCAGGATTTATTTTCGAGGTTAGGGAATTATAAATTTGAAAAACATTCAATTTCGAAGTGTTTGATGGGGAGAATGGAGTAAGGTTAAGTTAACTACATATTTCGAGAGGATCACATACACCCCAATCGCCACTAAATGCACCATTGTACATACATACCACTCACAAAAACAGGTTTCAGATATTTTTGGTACCTCGGTAACACAATTGATTAAGAACAATTATTTTGTTAGCACAAATCAAATTTCGTCAGGTTGTATTTTTTAGCGAAAAACACGTGCGGTAACCAGTGTTATTAAAAAAATAAAAAAAAGTTTCTATCGTAGTTATGATCTATTTAAATAATTATATAGATTGTAGATTCGATATAAATCATCCATTTTTATCCTATTATTCAGACGTAATTAAATATAGACAGGCAATACGAGTATCTAATAATTAGAGCCCGGATTTCAATGCAAAGTGCATAATTTTTTAGTTGATCATACACAATGCTCTTTAAGAACGTAATTCGTTTCATGTAACGAGGGTTTCAAAACTAAAAATTTTAATTTGCATTTTTTTTTTTTCATATTTTGACGTTTTTCATTTTTAGAGAATTTTTAGTATTATTGGGTCATTTTGTTGGTTTTTAATGCATATTTGTTCGACATACTAAACAAATTTAGTCTATTCAAAATAAAATCAAAAGACAAATTATTTTCTTGATATTTAAGTAGGTTTATTGGGTTTTTCCATACACATAGTCAATCTTTATTTTTCTATTCAGTTTTTATCTTATTTTAATTTTATTTATTTACCGTATGGCAAATCTTATTTTAATTTTATTTATTTATCGTATGGCATATCTTATTTTAATTTATTATAGACTATGAAACGTCACCAGTATTCGGTCAAATAACAAATAATCAGTCAGTTCATATTACATTGCAGACGTTGCTCGGATTACATGTTGTGTGATTTAAATGTATTAAATAGTGTGTTAATGCCCAAAATAAAAAAAATTAAGTAATTTATAAGGTCATTTTTGCGGTAAAATGCATTTTTCAAGGACATTTTCGGCTATTTTTTTTTTAGAGCATATTTGTATGGTTTTAAATGTATTTAAATCCAGGCCCGACAAATAATGTATAATGAAATCTAACAATAACAAAGCATGCTTGTTAACTAGTATAATATATTTATATTATTTTTAATAAACATTGTTTATATAAAGCTGATAATGAGGTCCTTTGTTACGGGTTGGCTCTGGAATTTATGTCTAAAAGCAGTTCCATTATATTCTTTATAACTAAGCCTATACACAATAATAAGTATATTTCCTCGATATTTTAAATTTATGAATTTAGTTATTTTGCCCGTACGTTTATTGAGCAATCTGGACAAAATTATTTTAGAATCTCAACCGTCGTAGCATAAGATGCAAATTTGAATATATTTATTATACTAAATTAAGTATGTACAAGTAGCATGTATATCTTGGACAAACAAATGTGAGTAAAGGGTGTTTGAAACCAATCAGGACCTTCAAAAGTTCTCGCCGGCCCTGCAGTACATTAAATACATATATGAGATCGTATTATCGTAATATTTTATTCATACTTTGGTGATAATTGAATCACTAATAGAAATTAATATTTAAATTATTTCAAATTTTTTTTATCATAATTTTAATATTATTTAAATAATGATTATAATTCAAAATAATTTAGAAACATTAATTTTTTTCGAGTTAAAATAATCTATATTTTATTATAGGTCTATAAAATTCATTACTTATATCGACTGAACATAAATTAATAATTACTGAAAAAAAATGTAATTATCTTGCATTAATTGTTATATATTTTCAAGTAACAATATAAAAATTTAAAAATTATACTATTTTTTATGTATTATCAGTATAATTATATTTCAAAAGAATCAAGTTGCTACATTTTAGAGGCTTATTTTTCCAAACAATTTCAAGTGTTAAAATTGTTATCAGTGGCGTAACTGGGAAATAATCTAGGGAGGGGCATTATAATATATTTATTATTACCAAAACCCTGACACCCCTCCCCCTCACCAGTTAAAAAATATTTTAATTGTATGTATTTTATACAGTATATCTAATTGTTTGATTTTACATAAGTCTTTTAACTCATTTTATGGTTTAGATAAACATAAATTGTAGGTAGCAGGTATTAGGTATCAATATTGTTAAATAATACCCATAATAGTTCATTAATAAAAGGTGCTATTTATACTGTTAGATTATCTGGGGGGGGGGGACAAAATTATACCTTTATCTCTCAAAAAATTGTCAGGGAAGTCACTTGCCTCCCTTGCCCCCCTAAATTACGCCACTAATTGTTATCATATACTGTCAACCTCATAATTTAATTGAGACATATTCTATGCGTCATGAGAGTCGGCTTGGTTATAAACCAAAATTATAAATTTTAAGTATATTACCTGTGTCTATTTATGGATGGAAGTATTAATTCTGTAGGTCCATCGGTAGCGATAGTAATTGTATGAGGATGGTTTTTGACAGTAAATACTTTGCATTTGTGATCAGCGTGCAATCCGTTAGCTAACATGTCGTCAAACAGTGAGGGATTTTTGTAGACATTAAACGCGGAAAAATAAGTATAACCGGAAGGACGAAATAGCTACGGTGTCAGTAAGAACATTGAACTCGCCGCCGGAAAAGGTAAAACGGAAGGGGATTGAGGGTTTGTCAGTGAATTATTAATATGTTGACTAATGACGACATTCGACAGACCGAGTAAGACACTAGGACAGCGACCTGGTTAACCATACTTGAATATTTATATTTTCATTAATGCGATCGATAACTATAAACGATGAACTGCATCATGGTACATTAATCTATAAAGGAATAGGTATATTATATTGTGTAGGTCAGAATTTCAAGAAATCCATTGGGTGAAACCCTGTACTAAGGTACCAGGGTACTTGAAGATTTATCCAAATAATAATAAAACTGTAAAATAAGTATATTTTAGAATTATTAAACGTCATTGTGTTAATGGATAATAATATCATAATTGTGTGCAAGAATGAAGGTGATGCATTTTATGCTGCTGCTTACCTTAAGTAAAAACATGTTTTATTTTTTTTTTTTTGATAAATTACTATTATATTTTTATATTCTCTATATACTGTTGTCTCATGAGTATAAAAGTTAATCATTGTTTGTCTAATTTCATTTATTTTGTCATTATTCATGTACTTGCTTCGGAAATACATATACTAAAATTTAAATAAAATTATTTAGCCCCTGTGCAAGAAAAAAAATTCATTATTCAATGTAAAGGATTGTTTTAACAATGATGAAGAGATATAAAAATGAACAACCGATTTTATGTTGTATATTAAATTGTCTAATATTTTTAAACTTACAATTTTGAAAAAGTTCATACATCTTATAAATACATTTAGTAACTGTTTAATGTTACCATGTATATATTAATCCATATTTATAAATAACCTACAGGAATGCTTGATTTATGGTTACACTACATAACTTCAAGCATCATAATTATGAACTAAATCATCAGGTAACTAATTATTACTAGTTACTAATTTATCTTGTTAACCAAGCATTAGAATTCCTAACAACCTAATATGGATAATATTTATTTGAATTATTTTATAATTTGTTACCATAATTTGGTGTAAGTATTAAAGATTAAATCGTATAGGTACAGTTCAGTTACATTAGTTATTATTTTACTTACTCATCAAGAGTTTTTTTTTATTTATTTATTCCAACAGATAGTTATTTAGTTTTATTTTTAGTTATAACTATATAAATGGGCTGTGTAAAAATTGTTAAATGAACAATACAACATTTAAATAAAAAAACCAAGCATAATATTAGGAAAAATTTGTTTTACTAAAATAAATTACAAGTGACTTTTACAAAATGACAATTTTAGGTTGTTGAATAAATTAACAAATAAATTATTTTATAAAAATCATACAAAGGAATCAGTAAATACTGATTAAGGCTGTAACCTGGAAAGTTAGCATTAAAATTATACAAGTGCAAGATAAAAAATTTTAAGAAACAAAATAAAATGTTTCATCAGCCTAAATATGTAGAAATTAAACCAGTTGATTATTTTCAATATTTTGATTCTACAAAAATGGCAAGATTAAATATTATTTATTTTCTAATTTCTTAAACAAAATTAATGTATTATTAAAATATTTATTCTGAACAAATAAAAAAAAAAAAAACTTAAGAATACTAGTTTTTCTTTTAAATATTTTAAGTATGGTTTCGTTGTGAGCATAATAAAGTTCAAAAGCTAGCACAGCCATTAACAATTAAAATAAATGTAAATAATTTACTATTGTCTTTTAATTCCATATACAATTAACAAAAGAAAAAAAAAATGAATTGCCAACTAATCTATTACAGTTCATATGTTGCAACAGTTATGAAGAACCAAATTCACTCATCCATTTCTCATATTTAGTTAAATCATCCGATGAAACACTTTTATTACATTTTGCTATTGCTTCATTAAAATCTTGGAAGGATACAGGTAAATCCACTTCTTCTTTAGCTAATTGCCGAATTTGATCAGGTTTTAATCCAGCAATCTTACGTCGCATAGACATCATAGATGCATCTCTAAATGAAGAAATAAAATAAAATTGGTACGGTATAAATAAAATAAGCTTAGCGCTTATAATTACCTGCAAACATTAGTAATATCAGCACCTGAGTAACCTTTGAGTTTAGAAGCTATTTCCATTAAATTAACATCAGGTTCGACTTTAACATCCCTTAAATTTATTCTCAGAAGTGCTTCTCGACCAGCACCTATAAAAACAAAGTTAAATAAAGTTAAGAAAAATTATTAAATTAATGTAGATACATATTTAATTAAATATAACATTATTTTTTTAAAACAATATTTATAATTTTTATTATTAATAAAATAAAATATTACAGTTAGTTTACTAATATATTTAAATTGTACATATTATTACTTAAAAAAGCAACATTTAATTTATTTAATTAAAATATTAAGGTTAAACAAAATTATGTTTTGTATATAAATATACACTTTTCAAATATTGAATCCTTTGAACACTTCTAAGAAAATTTTATTTTATTTTTAAGTAATTTTTATTTTATATTTAATATCAAATAATAAATAGTCAAAAATAAAATAGAAATACATTTCTCATTTAACTCAGAATCTCTTAAAACAAATTTTTCATTAAGATTCTCAAATAATTATATTATATTATTCCTATTTAAAATACACATATTTGGAAGTTTTAAATGAGTATAACAAAATAGAAATAGATTTCTCATTTAACTCAGAATCTCTTAAAACAAATTTTTCATTAAGATTCTCAAATAATTATATTATATTATTCCTATTTAAAATACACATATTTGGAAGTTTTAAATGAGTATAACAAAATACTAACTGTTAGGTAGTGGTATATATATACGTTTCTCTAGCCTACGTCTGAGTGCCTCATCTATATCCCAAGGGAAATTGGTAGCTGCTAATACCATTACAATACGACTGGCACCTGATTCTTCTTCTGTATTAGTATCACTTAAGCCATCCATTTGGACTAAAAGTTCAGATTTTACTCTTCTGGATGCTTCATGTTCAGACTCTGAACCTCTCCGAGAACAAAGTGAATCTATTTCATCAATGAATATTGTTGATGGTGCATGAAACCTTGCCTATACCAAAGAAAATTTGTTATTAAAAATTCTTAAGAAATACATAGATACAAAAATAATTAATATTTTTATAAGAGCATTTAATTATTTTTAAAATTAATCATCTTATAGCAAATATATTTATATATACCATATTATCTTTAATATGCCAATTATTAGATAAAATTGGTAATGAACAATTTGATATGAGTATTTGGATTTAAGGTTTACTAACTATATAAAGTAAAGGAAAATCAATATTGATTAGATTTACAATATGGATATAAATCATATGGGACATCATTTTTGGTTAAAATTCTTGTGCATATCTCATACAATTATTATTACTTTTGCTACTTAATTGAACTAAAATACACACTTACTTTTATTATTCTTTTATTATATGCACTATTATAACAGCACTATTAATTATTACTTAATATATTTTTTCAATACTGTAAATGAAACTTACCATTTCAAATAGGAGCCTGACAAGTTTTTCAGATTCACCTCTATACTTAGAAGTTAATGTTGATGAAGATACATTAAAAAATGTAGTTCTGCACTCAGTTGCCACTGCTTTTGCAAGCATTGTTTTCCCTGTTCCAGGAGGGCCAACCATTAATACTCCTTTCCAAGGTCGTCGAATTCCCTATAAAAATACATTATTTTAAATTTCAAATATTCGCATCAAATATTAATATTTTACCTTAAAAAAATCAGGCATCCACATAGGAAGTACTACTGCTTCTTCTAACAGACGTTTGGCTTCATCTAATTCAGCTATATCACTCCATCTTATATTTGGGTTTTTTTGTACAATATCTCTCTCTAGAAATTACATTTTTTATTGGTACGATAAAAATATAATTTATATGTTTATAATTACCTAACATATCAACGAGGTCTTGGTCATATGAGGAACAATCAAATCGCTTTTCATCTGGTTTCAAAACTTCTTTTTCATCCTTATCTTTTTCATTTTTATCACTCTAATAAATATAATTATATGATTTAAATATAAATTAAATTAAAAATGCGTTGTTTTAATATATTAAACTATATTAATTACATTAAATGATTATACAAAACATTCAAATATTTACCGTTCCATTTGTATGATGACCATTAGTATCTTTTTTTTGACCTTTTTTAATTTCATCATTTTTCTTAGCTAACTGAGATCTAGAGGCACTGTTTCGGTTATTGTTTGGTCCAACTTTTTGGTTTCTATTAACAACACGTGAAGAAGCTTTTTGTGGTCTGACCTGTGGTCCAGGTTTATGTTCAACTGGTGATGGAGGAGGCCAAACATCTGGATCATTATTATTTGCAGGAGGCCACTCAAGAGAACCACTACCATTGACTTGTTGACGAGTTGTTCCAAACCATGACACCCCATCAACAGGTGATATATCTTCATTTCTATTATTCCTACTTACTATAAAAATAAAATAATTATATAAGTAAATATAAAATGATAAATAAATATTGCCACTACATTCTGAATACATAATGAATTAATGTGATTAGTATATTATAAAAGTATTTCTGTTATAAAAAAGTAAAATTACTTTGAACCAAATTGTAATTAAATATTTTAAAGTAATTAACTTCAGGAAATAAAATGTATAGTTGAAAAACATGTTTTTCTTTGAATTATTTGAAATATGATAAGATACTTACATGATGGATTAGATGCACTCAATGGTCTTTCATTTCTTTCAAATTTACTACTTCTATTTTGTTTCAATTTATTTAATGTGTTTGAATATAATTTTAATTGTTCATATTCATCATTAATCTGTCGTTGAATCTAGTAAGAATTGTTCATATTTAAGTAAAAAACATTTAATATTAAAACATATTTTATTTACAGTTCGCCAAGATTCTCGACGTGTTTGATTATCCACAGTAGACAAGAACCTTCCCAATTGTAATTTAGCTCCTTCATAATAAACTACTGACGAATCGTAATTGCCAGTAAGTGCCATCTCACGAGCCATGTTAATACTTTCACGTATTTCATAAATCGATACTGCCATAACGGTCATCACAACTGTAACCAGTCAACCAGATTATTGTTATTATTAATTCAGAAAATGTTACATCTGCATGTAAATGACAATAACTTACCTTCAATTTAATAAATTTGAGCTTAGGAAGAAATGGCTTAATTGAGAATAATCCATGTAAAATGAAGTTCATTTTCGTACATCATTCTCAATCAAAATCATCGCAAAAAATAAAAACATGTTTCTGAAAAACCAAAATATAAATTAAAAAAAATATTTTGTTAAAATGATATAGAAAAAGTTATTTGTTTATTTATGTTTAACGAATTTACCAATAAAGCTTATAAATGAATAGCTTAACATTAAACATAATTAGCGTGTCTACTGATAACAATAGATTTACAAAGACTTAGTTAGAGTAAATTTACAACGTAGTCTTTCGAAATTTGAATCTGTCAATCAAATAATCACTATTTAAACGACCACTATGACTTGTGACAACTTTTTTAATATTTTGAAGGTATAACATTATCAAACTATATTATATTTGATCGAGGATCATTCTCTTGCTTTAAAATCCAATGAAGTTGTAAAGTATTGTTATCACATTGACGATTATGTTTGAATGACGTCCTTAGTAATAAGTTAAAAGAGCGGGAAAAATAAATAGTTTGAAATTTCATATCAACTTGTTACATAAACACGCACAATCTTACAAGAAAAAATTAAAAATTGAACTAAAAGAATGGAAAACTTAATATCATTTATATTTTCTGTATTCACAGTTATGTCTATAATTTTTCCTGCATAAATTACAAATATATATTTTATTATGATTTGAATGATAAAATACTTAGAATATTTGTACTGGAAAAAAATCAATATTTTCGTCCCATATTCTATAACATTAAATATTAAATTAAGTAAATTGAAAGAAATGGTCACAATAGATTTGTTCGTTTTTGAAGTTCCAATTATATAATTAGAAAAAAATAGTATACTTTATCGTATTACACATTCAAATATACTAAATTTAAATAATTACATTACTTGATTTAACTTAAATAAAACTACGAATAAACTATCGTTTTTTTTTTCACATAAATATAATAATCCCAATAGTAAAAAATTATTTAATTAAGTTGATTAAGTTGATACACGTGAAATGTGGGGAAAAACACAATACCTCAGCCTGTTTAAAACCCACCGACCAACTACCAAAATGTGCACTATATGAAGGACAACACCCAACAAGTTATTGAGGTTAGGTATATATCATAAAAAGTTGGTATAAAAAAAAAGGTGTATAAAAATCTACAACAAAGACACCAGAATAATAAAAAAAAATTAACCAAGATTTCCAATCTGATATTAAATTATTAAATAACAATAATACCATACCTATTAAAGAGGTCTATTTTACCACCCTAAATGATAATATCAATACTAATAATCAGCCTCACACTCAATCATACGCAGACGCCTCTCGTCAATTTAATAATACAAAAATCCATGAACAAACCCCGAATTATTTTTCTAAACAGCTCACCTAATACCTCAATGATTTTAAACTAATTATTAATCCACTTATTTCACTCCTCACAACGGTTATCAACAAACTCTTAATAAAAAATAATGAATAACTCTACCCAATCTCATCTCTCATTAAACATTTTACTCTGGAACGCAAACGGTGCCATTCAACACAAACATGAACTTCATAACTTATTATACGAAAAAAAATTAACATATAGCTATAGCTATGATAACTGAAACTCATTTTACACCAAATACTAATTTTAAATTATATAGATTTACCACTCACGTAACAAATCACCCTAATAATACGGCCCATGTCGGTACCGCAATTTTCGTCTCTTCAAGAATACACCACTGTTTATTACCACCGTATCAGGAACACGCAATTCAAGCAACAAACATTCAAATTAACGTCGATAGCATCCCAATTATTCTACTTTCAGTATACTGTCCCCCAAACCATAATAAAAGTAAAAACAAATTCAACTCACTTTTTAACTTTTTAGGTAATACATTTATAGTAGGAGGTGACTTCAACGCTAAACATAACACTTGGGGATGCAGGGCCGAAAATCAAATATGTAAAACACTTTTTCAAACGATAACTGATAACCACTTTTCAGTTATTTCCCCTCCTGGTCCAACCTACTGGTCCACACATTTAAATAGACATCCAGACACATTAGACTATTTTGTTACCAAACTACCAAATCACTTAACCACTTTAGTAAATAATATATGCGACCTCTCAAGTGACCATTCACCTGTTATATTAACACTAAGAGGAAACCCTACTCATAATATTAAACCTTCACTAACAGACGGACCAATAAATTGGACTAAATTTAAAAATCACTTAGACAATAGTATAAATTTAAATATAACCCTGAAAACTTGCAATGGAATTGAATGTGCAGCTACACTTATGGTAAAAACCAATAATCAGCAAATATTAGTTCTTACCTAAATAAAAATCAAACAACCTATACAAATGATAGATTGCCTCAAAACATCCAAAAATTAATAGCAATAAAGTGTAGAATTAGAGCACGCTGGAAACAATACAGATATCCCAGTCTTAAACAACAACTTAATCAAACTACAAATGTACTTAAAAATATAATAAAACAATTCAAGTCAGAGAAATATTAATCATACCTAAACAATATAAATCCTCAAAATGGCTCGATATGGAGAGCAACAAAAAATTTAAAAAAAACTAGAAAAAATACCTCACCACTTCGACTTACTGACGGTACATATAGTATATATACTAGGTATACCTAGTCATCAATTTGGTTTTAGGACCAAGCATTCCACAATCCACCAGCTCTTTCGTACTGTCGACTTAATCTACTCTAGCCTGAAATTTAAACATTACTGCGCAACAGTTCTGCTCGAGGTAGTTTTGGCCTTTGATAGGATCTGGCATGGTGGCCTCCTTTATAAAATTAAAAAGTTTCTTCCAGCCCCATATTACCTTTTTATTAAATCCTTTCTCGAAAACCGAACCTTTTCCATTCGAGTGAACATCTTTACTCCGAAAATTTCCAAATATTAGCTGGCGTTTCACAAGGCAGTGACATTGCCCCTTTCCTTTACACAATTATTGCTCATGATACTCCTAAATTCTTTTACACATCTCTGGTTACCTATGCTGACGGCATAATAATCGTGGCCTCAAATAAAGATCCTCAAATCGTCACGGATATGTTACAAACCCATCTTCACATGATACAACTCTGGTACCAACGATGGAAGATAAAATTAAATGAATCTAAATAATCTTTTATCATTCTCACTAAGACCAAAAGACTTCCCCCCCCCCCAGTCAAACTAATAATAATATTATCCCATCAACCTCAGCAGTAAAATATCTAAGTCTGACGCTCGATAGACGCCTTACCTGGTCTCAACATTTAAAAAATAAAAGAAAAACAGTAAACTCCAGACTACTTTTACTCCTCTCTCTCTTGAGATATAAAATAATCACCAGCAACAAACTTTTAATCTATAAAACCATCATTTGACCTGTGTAGTCTTATAGTATCCAATTATGGGGCTCCACCAAATCTTCCAACTTACGAACCATCCAAGCTTTCCAATCAGTATGCCTCCGTTAAATCATCTCCGCCCCCTGGTACATCGAAAATACTAACCTACATAACAATCTTAAAATTCTAACTCTGTCTCAATCAACAAAATCTTGCTCAATTCATTTTAAACTAACTCAACATACAAACCCGCTAATCAATCGTCTTTCCTTCCTCGATAATCTTATCAACCTCCTAAGTATATTAAATCGGACCGGGTAAAGAGATTTAAAGTAAAATAATTAAGAATAATTAAAATAATAATTTATAAAAATAATAATATTACATAAATAATAATTTAGATAATAATTTATTTATTTATTTAGAATAATTAAGAACAAATAATTTAGAATAAACTGTCAGATGATCAGTAATCACTAGAGTTAGATTGAAATCAAAATTATATTCTTATAAGGCATCGTTATCAACACTAATGCTATTGTTTACACATTTAATGGCGTATATATGCTTATATGTACTCGTATATTATATAGTATATCTGTTTTTGACATATTTTCCCACTGTTTCCAACTCCTAAAGTAAAACAATAATTTAATAAAACACCAACATACAACTATAGTAGTTGGCACTAGACAAGATACTAACCTGGGGACCTCATATAGCTACTAAATTACAACAAGTCTACCTGCACCTTTCAATATTATTTCCTATTCTAAACAAAAATGCAGTTATACATAAAAAATATTCAATATTAATTACTAATTACTAATTACTAATATTAATTACTAATTACTTACGCTTGCTTTATCTAGGGTAACTGTTCAGCGACACATTTAAAAAAAATTTAAATTTTCTAAAACAAAATATTAAGAATAATAACGAACACGAAAATCTACGAAAAAATCTACAAAGACCTCCGAATTATTATAGATACTTCTACTTAATACAATACAGCTAAATTAAGAAAAAAAAAAGAATACAGGCAATAATAAAAACATATATATTACTATATACTATATATATATATATGTATGTATATACTACAGCCAATATATAGACTCTTGAATACATTATAATATTCACTACGTAAAATATATTGAATTTCGAAATTATTTAAATATAGTATTATTTCAAAAAAAATGTATACTATAATTTATATGCAAATATACTAGGGTAGGTCAGAATGAATAAATATTAAATGAATAACATTTCAAGTTATGAATAAGCCGTGTTAATTAATTACGCAGCGATTCACCCTCGTATAATATCCAAAAATATATTAACAATGCATTATGAGTGTTTTGACTTTTAAGCGTGATGGTACAGCTATCGACGTAAAAAGTAAAACAGATGTTCATAAAATATTATATAAAAAGGCACCTGTTATGTTTCTCAAGTTATTGATTACCCTCGAAGGAAGTTTAAATATTTTTCGAACAAGTTAGAATCATTTATACGTAAATTCTAGAAGAATATTTTACCAGAAATCGTTAATTCTTCATCATTTTTCATAGTAACTAAAATGTCACTATGATAAAAGCAATTCTTTATTTCTTGGTTTACTCGTATTTATATCAATTTTTTTTTTTTTTTTATTAATCGGGGATTTTTAATAAAATAAAATAAATTGGTGGAGTATAATAAAACGAAA